GTTAAAAATGAATTTCTGTTCGTTAGTCTCGCTAAAACTCGAGAATGGCTGAACTGATTTGGCTAATTTTGGTCTTGATAGGTTCGTGGAAGTCTAGGGAAGGTTTAAAAGGTGAGAAAAAACTTTTAGGCGGTACGAAGTTTGCCGGGTCAGCTAGTATGTTATAAATACTTAACTTACCTACTTATTAATTTTTGTTACACTCAGTGTAAAAACTCAAACTTCTAATTTATCAATAATGTCAAATATTAGTTAATATATTAATAAACAAGAACATTTATGATTCTAGGAATTTCGTACAATCACTGATTTTCACATCTTACTTCGACATTTAAATTCGTAAGATAATATGTTTTTAATGGATATTTGTATGTGCTATTTTGCATAATGTAGTTTTGAATAGTAGTAATACTCAATATTTATTTCGTACTAAAAATTTTTCTTGTCGGGCATGGCTTCTCGGAACCCAACGGTGGCGTTACTCTTACGCATTTCATAGTAGGTACACAAGTTATCTTCCCGCCTACTTCCACATATCCTACGGCTGTATCTATACATAACGCTTTGGCTCTACGTGTGGCTGTACTATTATTACACTCGTTTATTTGTGACTATTTTGTAACAACTTCACATAGTCGACTTTCGGTAAGTTTCAGCTCGGCACTCGGCAAATCCTTCCGAAACTTTCATATTGTTTAATTATAACGAAGAAGAATACCACTTTGGTTAACTTATAGAAAAATAATTAAAATGAATTGAGAATAAAATAATAACAATTTTTCGATTCATTTTTGACAAAATTATTGATTGAGGTGGGTAATACTAATTCTACCCAGTAAATTCTAAAGTCAAAGTCATAGCATTTATTTCGACTAAAGCATATAAAAGAAACATCAATAAATAAAAAATAGTTTGTCAGTATGTCCCTCAGTAAAGTAATGTACATTCGTGTGGAGAAGATTGAGAAAAAAACTCCAATAACTACTCTTTAAAACAAATAAGTATTACAATCTTACAACATAGGATCTTCTATATTTTTTTTTATTTAACGTTGCCCCACACTAGGATATTCTCCTGTGTCGTGGGTGCGTTTACAAACATACAAGTTCACATACACATCACACCCAGTCCCGAAACAACAATTTGTGGATCACACAAAGTGTTGTTCCGTGCGGGAATCGAACCCGCGACACGTTGCATGGCAGCCGGTTGCCCAGCCACCGCACCATCCGTGCAGTCACTCATGAAGACCTTTTGTATATTTAGGTCGCAAATCAACGTTTTCACTGGGTATTTCCTCGACACCCTTCTCTAGTCTGACACATACCATTATTTTTTTGGAGAGGCGACAATTAAGCAGCCGCGATACGTTTATTCTTCCGTAGTCATGACGTCATTTGGTGCTTACGTCTGTTTAGAATGAGTCAATCTTTAAATTGAATTGTTTGAATGAAACTTACATTATTTTGAGGTCATAAAAATATCGGTGCCACACTTGTACTTGTAGTTTTACTTTGTGTAACGGCATATGCATTTCTTTCTTTCAATCAGCGCTGCCCGTGGATTTCAGGATTGGGGAGAATAGAGTTATCGAGCCTCCAATAACCTCGCGGAAGTATATATATATAAACACACTCACAATTTCTGCTATTTTGTGCAATCCTTGAGTTGGTTCAGCTCTTATGGATTAAACTTACCAAACGAAATAAAAGTTGTATGTTCATATGCCTTGAAACATTTAATATACAATATCTACTACATACATATGTATAATATGTATATTTTTTATTTAAAAACGTACCCATATCTCGCTTAATTTAATGGTTCTCGTTTTTGTTTTATATTTTTAGACAATAAACATGTTTTTAAGTATAATGTATAAAACAGTTAAAACGTTTGCCTAATTAACAATCTCGTTTATACTAATTAAATCATGTACAAACTTGTTTCTGTAATTAATGTATTATGATCCCCACGCGAAGTACGTTATGCTAATTTAAATTGTTGTATTTTTTATCTGTAGACTGTAAATATTGTCGTGGATGGAAACTGATAGGCATCTCTCATAAGACGTGATTTATGAATGTCGTTATCTAAGTAGCGGTCATAAATTAAGCGGGACGTGTACCTGTTGTGTATCTACAGGCTTCGTCGTATTTCCCTGAATTGTATCACAAACAGATGCTAACACGTCATCCAGCACGCACCCGTCGATCTCGGCGGAGCTGCAGATGACGTGAGCAGGCTGGCGCTGCTCGCACGTAGATATCTGCGCGTACACGAGCGTCTCGGCTGGCTCGCTCAGCGATCAACCAAAGTGTCTCAAATAACAAGCAGTACTTACTTAACTATTTACTTAGATTAAAGCTGCGCTGTAAAAAAAATCATATAATTATAACATAAATCTTTCAATAGTGTCATTGTAAGTAATGTAAAAAAACAAAATAGTCACACACAGTTACCTAGGTATAATTTCTATTTCGCAAATAAAAGTATGTGTGCAAAAAGTTTAAGTGATAATGTCGGAAGGCAATCTGGGTGTTATTTCAAGATTACGATGTTGTTTAACGTTGGCACAATAGAGTGGCGCGATGGCACGAGGGCGGCGCGCGCCGCGCGTTGTATTTGCGCTGGGCTCGCGCGTCGGATGTGGCATTACGTGTGACACTAACGTGTGTACCCGCTTCGTTACATATGTCACGTTGTATGAAATGAACATTTCATTCAACATTTTCTCGCTGCGATACATGCGATCCCCAGTATCTGCTACGAAATTCGATCTCGCAAGATTGAGGTTCAAGCAGTCAGGCCAGAACCCGAGGCCTCTTGCTCTACAGTCTACTTGCAACAGATCGACCAACGAGGTAGAATAATTAATTGATTTATAATTGGCAATTAAACTATACCTACTCAGAGATATATAAAAATTAAGATTAATTAACAAAATCGTCTACCTTATTTCCTCGAATAAGACGAATCTTTCACTCCATTCCGGAACCTTTAGTCTACATATACATATATGTCGATAACTTTGGCGATTCTTTAATAACTCAGTAGTAAGTAAGTAGCCTTCAAGTTTTCTGTATATGTGACAAAAAACAAAAGGTTTTTTAAATGTATTTTATGTGTACACGCTTGTATGCAGATATACCTATGTAGGTATGTATGTGTGCGTTATATCGTACCTCGTGATTGTGATAAATCGTTTTACGACTATATCGGGTATACACAAACCTCAACTTGACATTGTCAGCCCATGGCTGGATGATATGATATACATATTGGACTAACCGTCCATTTGCCTCGTTATGGGGATAAAAATGTGATATTTAAGATTTGCCGCACATTAGGCTTGTGTAGTTCGCGAACGAACTAGTTCAAAAGAGCGCTCCCACATTCAAAATATGCGAACTAGTTCACGTCGTTCCCAACTCCTTAGTTCCTTAGTTCGTATTTCAAAGTACAAGAACAAGAATTGTGAAGTCGTTTATATGTATAGTCTATGGTGAAGACCGAACTAAAAAATGCGATAACATTTATGATCTCACTTGAAAAGTCATGAGCTGAGTCGGGAGCTGACGAACTAGGGAGCGATTTGGCTGCCAGTACCTTCCTAGTTCCTATCCGATTCATTCCAATTCCAAATCCAACTGGGAGTCGGGAGCTGACGAACTAGGGAGCGATTTGGCTGCTAGTGCGTTCCTAGTTCCTATACGATTCATTCCAATTCCGACTGCAACTGCGAGTCGGGAGCTGACGAACTAAAAGAGCGAACTAGTTCGTTTAGGAGCGGCGAACTGATCTGAGTGATCTTAGTCGCGAACTATTAAGCACAAGACTACCGCACATACAAAGTGCGCGCGTGTTTTTGCGTCCATGATTACATCGCTTGGGTACCCGCGTGGAGCTACGTCAGCGCCGGGTGCGTGTACTACATGACTGCATTGTAGAACAAAACAACGAGTATAGTCCCCGGCAACTAACAAGCCAAGATTTTCTCGTGGCGAAGATAAGTTTATACATTGTGTATTTTCAGATTATTTTATGAATATATATAACATCTTTTAATTTTAATTGTGTTTATTTAAAAGAAAGTGATCGTAAAAACAAACCAAGAGTAAAAAATAAAAAGCAAAAAAATACTATTATTGTCATACGTACTTACAGGCTACACGCCCACTGGTCGCCCACTGGTCGGTGAGAAGTCGGTGCCACAAGTTTAAAAGATCGGTACCTAACATTATTAAGCTGTTTACAATTGTATTATGGATTATACCTGTGGCCATTACCAAGTTATACTTTGTTATGGATTACTAAACTAAAGCCACATAGTTTAGTTTAGTACGAAGTCATTATCTATATTATCAACACACTAAAGTTGTCACCAATACAAATTATTCAAGCTCAAGTACCAGGTACCTAGGTACTGTTAACCATTGAGGAGGTCCCTTAGCTAACATACTAATTCATCATCTGACTTTTAATTACAATCAAACTCTATCTAGCTGTAAAATCCTCATCAATACAAATTAATCAAACCCAAACACAAGGTAGCTACTGTTAACCGTTGAGGAGTTCCCTCAACTACTACTTAATCATCAGACGCCTAATGACAATAACACTCCATCTAAGTATCAAAACAATTCTTAGCCCAAACACGGGGTCACAGTAAATCCTCGAGGTGTTCCCTCGACTGTCGTTCGGATTGGCTCATCATCAGATCGACTCCAGACTTTTATCAAATTGAAGTGGTTAAATAGTTCATGTGGAAATGGGACCATCTCGAGAGTATAACCTTTCCAACAAAAAATAGATAATCATTAAAATCTGTCCACCGACACCGGAGTAATCACGTTACATACACACGAATAAAACATACGGCCGAATTAATAAGCTCCTCCTCTTTGAATAGTCGGTTGTAAAGAGAAATTTGCTCAAACACCACAGCGCATGCAGGCACGCGTTTCTATGAAGTCGTGGAACCACTAGAACTAAGTCATTTGTGTCGAAGAATAACTTTATAGGCCTTACGTGGCCACGTAAACATATAAATGAGTATAACACAGAGAGTAACAAACATCCGGACGGCAGACGTCCTCAGCCAGTTCCTTAGTTATTAGATATGTTAGGAATAAGAAGTAATTTAAAAGTGTAATCAAAAATTATAGAAATTATTTACGTAATGGCTTTCAAGTGGCATAGGTTCCCAAATTCAGATTACAATGGAGAAGAACTGTAAAGAGCGCGTGACGAGTCGAGGGGCAGTAGTGTGCAGTGTGTGTGTCGCAGGTGTTCGACGAGGTGTGCGTGGAGCTGGCGATGGCCCTGCTGCAGCTGCTGGCCTGGGCGCCGCCCGAGGAACTGCTGTGGCGCGCCACGCGGGCGCTCGCCCGCTTCGCCGCGCACTCGCACGACGTGCCGCAGCTCATCGCCATGGTGGGGCCCGACCCCGCCGCCTTCAGGTACCGCGCCCCGCCCTCGCCCCCACCCCCACGCCCCGCCCTGTGTCGCGGTCTCTCACTGTCTGTCCGTTACAGGGGCACGAGCCCGCGCGTGGACGAGCAGATTGACCTCATCATGAAGAGAGTGAAGTGAGCCGAGCTCAGCCTTGTCACTGGTGCCAGTCAGGGCACGTCGTTATGGTTACCGTTTGCTACTCTTTTCTGTTAATGTTTTAATTTGTACTGGACACCAGCCGGTGCTCGAGGGATGTAGATTTGTATAGACGCGCCGCTCCGGCTGCTCGATTGTAAATAATACGATTACCTGTTAGTGCTAATATTATATTAAGGCGACAAATTTAGTGTAAGTAGCTTCTAATGAGCTTATAAATTATATACAATTATACACACAAATGATATTATTCATATACAAATGCTGCATGCTAACACGTGGCGGCTATCGTGCATTTACACATAATGTATGCTTATAATAAATTTAAAAGAATTTAATAAATGTTTGGTATACTGGGCAGTCGGTTGTATTATTTACTACAAAGCAGCGCGAGCTGTGGTACAGAGTTCTGAAGCAAACACATGCTCCTAGCGTTCTCCATTAACAGAGCTGTCGTGTTTTTGTGATCTGTATTGGACTCCACATCGACATGCAGCGCCGACCCTCGCTCGCTGATATCGAATAATGACTACTACTAGTCGACTTGTTACTTCTCAACGCTAATTCCATGAAGGAGCAGATGCCGAATGAAAATAAGCGTAGGTATATTGTGTCAAGGCTACAGGTAACTAAGTAAATATATAGGCTGAGTTTTGGACTCTATTTGGAGAAAACACCCAGCGAGACACAAAACCAACACCGGGGTTGTAACTAGTTGTAAGCATCAAAGCGAATTTTGTATTTTTTGATCAGATCAAATTGTAGAGACCTCTAAAAATTATTTATTTTTCTCTAATAGGTAGCTAATTTACCCTTCCCATGGATATGTATGACGTCGATGGCTGTGAATGATGTCACTGCGCGTGTCTGCGGGAGACTCTCAACTTGTTGCAGGGTAAGTCAGATGCTGACAAGCTTGATACAAAATATTATTACTCATGGCCGCGCCACCAGCACACGATCCGCTTGGCGACAGTCACTTGGTTGCGCAACCAAGTTGACACCCTTCATAACACTATACACAAGTTTTGGTTGCGCGGCTATTTGTGCGATCAAGGTGTCCTAATGGAATTGTAATTCTGACAATGTGGGGCGAGCTCCTCGAGCTCGTTACTAGGTGTTTCTTTATTAAGTACCTAAATAATGTGTCGTTATGGAGTCTTGAGTCGCTTTGAAACAAAACAATAACGACGACGCCTGCAGCTTTACATCCAACCACTGCAGGACCACTTCTGATGTTCCATAAAAATCATAATTACTATAAAATGTAGACTTCACTCACACCCGACATACCCAGCTCGGTACATACGTACCGGCTTGTTCGAGCGAGTGCCAGTTTTTCTAGTTTCGCAAAATGCTAATACAATCGTATTCTTACATTTTAAATGATAATTAAAATATTAAGTAATTTGTTGTGTTAGCATACGGAACTGTCGGTTTCAATATTCGCACAGCAGTGACCGGCGGCGGTATGCATGAACACTAACCACAAGATTTTTTTAAAAGGGGGGACATCTTCGTCTGAGTTTTCCCGGCCGGGTGAGACGAGAGGGAGTGTCAGACTCTTACTGACTAAAAACTACCCCGTTCATACTCCTGCTCTTCGAGTTGGGGTCCCGGCAACACGTTAAGTCGTCGACGGCGAGCAGGGGTAGCTCACGGCCGGTGAGCATGCAGGCCCGTGTATACGGTGGCCGGAGATCATATCGCGGTCCCCGCCGCCCGGAGTGTCCCTCGCGACGGCTGAGTTGTGAAGAGGTTGCAGATCTCTGCCACACGTGGGGGCGTGACAGCTACGCAAAAATACCATTGTTCTTTCCTCCTCGCTCCGCATCATGGCCCGAACGCTACATTGCGTGATACATAGTAGATAACAATCACAATTACTAGTAGATAAATAAATATCTGCCATTAAAGCTAACCGTGTCAATGTCGTTGCAACTATGCCACCACGATGCATAATATTTGTACCGACCTATCTCCTCTACAACATCATGGACATTTAACAGTCAATACATGTATGTGCTTCATGCGCTCCCTAATCTAGAGATCTATATTATAATCTATGACGCCCGGCACAACAGCCGCGTCTCGGATTGGAAAGTTTTGGAAGTTTTCTCGTTCATTAGTAGCACGGAGTCTAGAATGGTACCTTATTTATAGCAATAGGTTTTCCCCGTGGCAGGCACAGCAGGGTAGTAGAACTGTATGCTATGTGCTCTGACATTACGAAGAAAGTATTTTTTTCTTTTAAATATTACATACACAATTTTTACATAAGTATTGCGAGAGTTTACGGCCGCGATAAGGCTCTACGCGCTTGTTCACACACGAAACTGTCACGATCACTTGCTTGACGGACATTATCAGAGCCAGCGCGTAGTTCCGGCATCGTTATAATATGTTATATTTACTACACCAACATGAATGAACACCTTCCACTACCACTAGTACTTTAGTCGCTTGTGTACACAACTACACACACACCATGTACCACGATTGAAACATAGCTCGAAACAAACCAAACTATGTAGTTTTGTCATAAATAATATGTGTATACCTAACTATAATAAACTAGTTTACTTCTTTTACGTTAGGCAACTCCTAAAGTGTACAAAAGGAGTTGTCGCAACTGGTCGGTTTGTAATATCCATGAGTTTTGCGACAAGTTGCGAGTGCACTGTTAGCCACGGAGCCACTGTGTGTGTGATGTTGTCCCACTTCTGGTGTGATGTGTATGTTTGTACATGCACCCACGACACGAGCCACGGTGGCGCATCACTAGCTGACAGTCAGTGCGTTACTCAACTGTCACTCACTGATCGAAAGATTTATCAGTAGCTACGTATAGTTACATACATGATCAACATTAATTTCATGGACACGTTAGACGCGTTGGATGCTGCAGTTGTACGTGTGACATGTACATTACATCTGAAACATCGTAAGTAGGTATGTAGGAGTAACAGACCAAGGTGCTTCGCTCTGAACAGTAGATGGGTACCTACTTACCTGCATAAAGCAGTTGAAGATATTCTCGCCATCGCTAGTTTGAGAAGGGAAGTAATTTGGTTACTGGTGCTAGTGCACCACTGCGTGCCTTTTTTTTAAGAGGGATAATCATCCAACCGACCCCGGAGTGTCTTCCGCGACGGCTGAGGCGTGAGGAGGTTTGTTCCCTCACGCGCTCCGCCTCCTCTTTGGCTAGCATGAGTGCTTCGTAGAAGGAGGAGACAACATTCCAGTCCCCCTCGCTCCGCACCATGGCCTGAACCAAAGCCGGACGCGAGAGGTCGCCGTCGCCGATCACATCTCTTAGGACACGACGGGGCTCAGCCCAAGCAGGGCACACCGCCACTGTATGCTCCACCGTGTCCTCTGGACCATTGCGTGCCTACGTAAGTATTATCTGTAAAAATATATAACAACGTGAATTTCAATTCCAATTTGCTTGACATCACATCTATTTTCCTAGTACTTATGCGATAGGTCGATGTGAGATTACGGTTGGAAAATTCACAAATAATAAGCACCTATTTTGACTCGTTTGACAGGTACCAAACTTATTGCAAAATTCTGGGTAAATTTTAGATGCTTGTGTTACTCTTGGCCCGATCCCAGGATGGAACCCTCCCTCAGGTTCACCTTTCTCGTTCTTTCCCACTACAACAATGGAGTTCGCACCTAATTTAATTTATTTCTACTTGTCCACGGAAACTTTATAAGTAGCCTCTCTTCTAACGACTCCGTCAATTATCACTAATCTCTTACAACTGGTTTTTCAATGACGAGGTAGTCATTGGTGTGAAGAGTTTATATGTATCAAAGATGAATGAACGTTGATATTTACTGTAAGCCAGCGACAGTCCGCGCCCCGTGAGCCACTCGTGTGTACTCTATGTACGTAGTTGTTTGAGGTTCAGGCAACATGCAGTTCTGCGAGCGCGGCGGGCGGCGCGCGCGGGCCCGGCTAGCGCCCGCTACACTTGTTTACGTCCGCTCGATTAGGGGCAGCCTACGGTCGCCTTACCTATGATGTTATCTGCGAATTATACACAAAACTCGCTTCATCTGTGACACCACTTGTGCGAGGTTTGAGTAAATCACTTTAAAATTCAAATCCATTTGTAGTAAGAACCTCTGTGCGTGTGCGTGTGAGGGGTGACGGAGCATTAACTGTGTGTTTGTGAACTGTTCACTTTACGGACATCCCTACCGGAGTGTGGCAAGTGCAAGTTGTGACTACACGACTGCTATCTGCGAGGAAGGTATCAGCTGACGCGGAGCAGGTGACCCTCGCTCGGGGCACGGAGCGCCGGCGCCGCCGCAAGCACACGGGTGCTACGGATCGCGGTATCTCCGCTGTTTGCTGTGCGCTGTTTACACATAGGAATGGTTTACTGATATCGAGATAATGAATTAAATTATAGCGAGCAGTAGCTCGCCCGTCTGAAAGCACAGTGAGTTTCTCTCGGCCGTCGGCGGATTCGGACGCGCAACTTACACCTACTTAGCTAAAACCTTTATAACAAATTATACAAAGGAAGTCGGTGCGTACATAAACAGAAGTATAATTACGAATAGGTCGTAAGCTAGCATGGAGGAGGAAGGTCTGCCGGTGTCGTGGCGCGGCGCGGGCGAGAAGGCGGGCGGCTGGGCGCGGCTGGCGCGGCGGCGCGTGCCGCTGCTGCGCTGGCTGCCGACGTACGACCGCGTGTCGGCGCTGGCGGACCTGGTGGCCGGCATCACGCTGGGGCTGACGCTGGTGCCGCAGAGCATCGCCTACGCCTCGCTCGCCAACTTGCCCGTACAATACGGGCTCTACTCCTCGTTCGTCGGTATGTTACGCCTAACATGAAAATGGTTTTCCTTTAACTTGTAGCTTTATTAAACAATACATAAAATCATGTTTGTTATTTCCTGTAAAAGCTAATACATAGATTGACAGAGAATCCTATCTACGAAGGCTAAGACTATTTTTATTGCAAAAGGTCAAAGGTGCTTTAATGTCTATAGTGTCACTGAGTTCATGAATGACACAATTATTTGACTAAATTGTATGAAATATTATTTTATTGCTTAGTTGTAAAATATATTTTATTTAATTTATTATAACTGGTTCTATGAATGTGTTATATTCAGTAATATTCTGACATACCTAAAATTTAATATATCGGTATCTAAGGATTTTTTCTAATAATTAAAATGATTAAAAATTCATTGTTTTAGCTACGACGTTGTATACTTATAATTTGCATGCCATGATGCCATGGTGAGTGTACAGTGTAGTAAACATGTAGGCACTTGCGTGTATGTACACATACACACGTGTCTTTGCGAATACATGATTTGATTTCATCTAGGCATAGCAAAGTTAAATTTGAATTCGTATAGCGGGCAAATATTTAAAATAAAATCGCCAGTGGGATACCTACATATAACTTATTGTCATTATTATATCTATACTCTTGGACTAATCCGATTATATTAGAGCCTATTGCGCCACTGACAACGCTTCTGTGAGGAAACAGTGAAAGGAATATATTAATTTAGAAGCAATGGCTTGTGCGAAATTGTTGAATAGTAAACTCATTTGCTGACAATATCAAAAATTGTAATACATATTATTTTGATTTTCGAATGCCAAAATAAAAAATTTCATCGTAAAATCACATCCAAAACATTTTTAAGGTACTTAAAGAGATGAGTGGAAGGAGGGAGTGGAGGGAGGCTTATAATATTCGTATCATGTAGGTACTTACATGTGCTCCTTGCTCGATGGCTATCCTCGAGCTGAAACAGGTAAACATAGCTATGTAGAAAGATGCTGTGGAATTGATGGGTGTCTACTGTCTAAGTCAAAGCATTTATTTCAATTAATCGTTAATTAGGCACTTTTGAAATGTCAAAAATTGTATGATCCGTCTTCAACTCCCAAATTAATAATAACATGTCTGTCTAACAGTGATCGCTGAACGTATTATAAAAAAAGGCCAAAGACAACAAAAAAGTACAAAATATAAGTTTAGTTTAGTTTAGTAACCTATATAATTATGTAGTTATGTGTATGTAGTTGTCCATTGTATCTATATATATGTCACATTATTTTTGTTAATGAAATTGTACCTGTAGCTGTTGGTTTCCCAAGTGTTCAATAAATAAACAATTTCTACGTAAATAATTGGTCACTCACTACTATGATCATACGATTTTCACTAGAAACTCGTACACGGACCTAGATAAAGTTGTATACCTATATACCTGTCTTTCATAGAATAGCCAGTTCCTAGACTTAGTTTACTCCCCAGAACAATGCCTAATTTGTATTATTATGAAAACACACGCCAGTGTTTATAATAATATAGTATGTCACAAAAGTGGTTGTTTCTCGGCGCATGACGCTCGCATGGTTTTACTTCAATATTATTTTGGTTATGCGGCGCCCGCCAACTTTTTTATTATAATTAATTACACATTCGTAATGTACTACTACGTACCTACATATATTATATGACTGGTTCACTTCTCCCTACTTGCCTATAAGAAGCTAGACTTAGCACCGGATACATACAGCAGAGACATTTCTGTTACTATATGTATATTGCCTGCTTATTTTCACCCGCTCTGCACGGCTCCTAATGATCGTAGTGTGATGTATTATAGCCTATAGCTTTCCCCAATAAATGAGCTATCCAACAGAAAAAGATTTCTGCAAATCGGACCAGTAGTTCCTGAGATTAGCGCGTTCAAACTCTACAAAATATTATACTACTAGCTTTTACCCGCGGCTTGTATGTATATGTGACATATACCAATACACACAGCGCCATCTATACCAATACTTTTGTTTTCCCTCGTGAATATCAATTTTTTCCGGGATAAAACGTACCTTATTATTTAATCCAGACTTGTAACTTTACGTCTGCAAAAATTCAAAGCAATCGGTTTAGTAGTTACGGCGTGAAAGCGGAACAAACAAACAAACAAACTCACTTTCCAATTAATAATATTAGTAAAGATTGTAGTGAGTAATACATTTTAAATTGGATAAAATGCTTGTCACTTTAAAATGTCAGTTGAAAAGTTAGAATCTCCCAGTGTTACTGTTATTCCGTAGCTGAACCTTGTGTGCAGGAACGATGCTGTACGTGGTGCTGGGCACGGTGAAGGAGGTGTCCATCGGGCCGACGAGCCTCATGGCGCTGTTCACGCTGCAGATCTGCCGCGGCCTGCCCGTGGAGTTCGTAGTGCTGCTCACCTTCCTGTCGGGCTGCGTCGTGCTCATCATGGGGCTGCTGCGGCTGGGTGAGCGCGTCCCGACGATGTCGTCCAGTGTCAAACTCATGAAGTTGTTTTCAACAGGACGTCACAACGAATCTGTTTACTACTTACACTTATCGCACATTATTTACGATATGCCTGAACATTTTAATTTCACTTAATCTACGTAAATATTATGCAAACATTTACTTAACTGAGTAAACTACTAAAGTCGTTGTGTGAACAACGTAGTAGCTGGAGAAGCGGAAGTATCCCCAGTAGTGGCTTACAGTAGCAGCGTGGTCACAGCTCGCAACGTAACATGATGGCACGAGTGTTGAGTAGTTGTGTACAGTATTGTGTACCGGTGTGTCAGGTTTCTTGGTGGAGCTGATATCTCCGTCGGTGACGAGCGGGTTCACGTCAGCCACGGCTATCATCATCGTGGCGGCGCAGCTCAAGGGGCTGCTCGGGCTGAGCTTCACGGCGGAGTCCGTCGGCGACAACATTCGGCTCATTGTCACCAAATGGGACGACATTCGCTACGCGGACTGTGCCCTGGGCGCCGTCTGCTGCACCGTGCTGCTCCTGCTGCGGGTACTGTGTGTGTGTGTGTGTGTGAGTGTGTGTGTGTGTCTCGGCGCGTCACTGAGCGTGGTCCCCTTGCAGAAGCTGAAGGACGTGCGCGTGCGCAGCCCCCGCGTGGGGCGCGCGCTGTGGCTGGTGTCCATCGGCCGCAACGCGCTGGTGGTGCTGGCCGCGTCGTCCTTCGCGTACCTCACGCACCACCCCAACCAGCCGCTGTTCAAGCTCTCCGGTACCGATATATAATTTATTGCACCTCAATATTGTCTATAAATGTCGCTGATACCTAATGTTATTGACAAATATTTTTGAAGTAATTTCTAAAATTCAATCCCTTCATGGTAAACAAACAAAGGCTGCATGAAGCTTAATTTTATGTACGTTGTGTAGGTAAGTAGTACCCGCGTAGGTAGGCACCCACTCAGTGTTTATAGACTAAACAAACATTAATGATATAAGCAACTGAGTCCTTTTTTGAGTTTCTTTTTCGTTTAAAGTAATCGAAACGAGACGGCCGCGGCGTTCGGTGCTTTAATTGGTTTGTTCATTGGAGCCATCAGCCAGCCAATCAGAGCGCCGAACGCGTTTCGATTACTTTAAACGTAAAACAAACTCGTACTGAGGCCTCTGATCTAATCTCTGAATCGATCATTGACAGAAGTTATTGAGTTGTGCAGTAGACAACAGCAAGCGTATTATGTGGCAGGTCGCGTGGAGCCGGGACTGCCGCGGCTGTCGGCGCCGCCCTTCAGCGCCTCCGTGGACAACAGCACCGTGACCTTCGTGGACATGGTGCAGCAGCTCGGCTCCGCCGTCATCATGCTGCCCATCGTCATGGTGCTCGCCAACATCGCCATCGCCAAGGCTTTCTGTAAGTGACGGGCGCGGGCGCGGGCGCGGCCGGGGCCGGCCGGCTGACGACAGCGGGCGTGTTGCAGGCGCGGGCGGGCGCGTGGACGCCACGCAGGAGATGGTGACGCTGGGGCTGTGCAACATGGCGGGCGCGCTGGTGCACGCCATGCCCACGTGCGGCGCCTTCACGCGCTCCGCCGTCTCGCACTCCAGCGGCGTGCGCACGCCCGCCGCCGGACTCTACTCCGGTGCGTACAC